GGAAAAGTCAATCCATGGAATAGGGAAAGATGGAAAGATTATCATATAGCTATGCATCAGTAACGGATGACTTCGCTCTTTGATACTTGTATATTATACGAGTACTGTTATCATCAAGGCAACAATAAAATATTCCAAAGAGAAAAACTTCATCGAGCTATAGATCTACATTTTCCGGATTTTTGTTATTTTATAACTTTAGGCACAATATATATAAGTATCTATTGTGTTATTTAGACTGTGAGTTGGTAGTAAAAAGTATAAATTGTAATTTTCAATATAACTTTACAGGTATAATTTAAAAATTATAATAGCTAATAATATAATAAATGAATTATTTTTGTCAAAAAAATATATTATTTATTTTATAATTTAATCCAAGATGATGGATTTATACTATCAGTGTGTTGTCTTTGGAATTTATTGTGTAGGTATGTGTTGTATAATAATATTGTACATTGTCAATAAGAAAATATATAAGTAATATTAAATTATTGTTGATCGTTCAATGTTTATGTTCATGATTAACAGTAATGCATAATATTAGTTATTAAATTTTGGTTAGGTACAATACTTAATAAATAACGRTACTATACGATTTTAGTTATAACTATATAAATAGGATGGATATTAATGCACTTAAAAATTTTAATATAATATTATGCTCTATGAAATATATTTTATAAAAATATGCTCTTTAAAACAAATACCTAATTACATACACTTATAGAATATAAATATATATTTAATAATTGAGCATAGGTATAGTATATAATATTCTAACGTATAAAAATATGAAACAAAGTATCAAATTATAAGCATTACTTGTTGTTAAAAAYATAACATAATACATTAAATAATGTATGTAAATAAAACATTTCTTCACGCTAAAATATCAATTCTTCAAAACACTTAGTGTTAAATTTAGGAATTCATACACAGATCTAACCTAGAAGTTGCTGAATGTAATAATAATTCACTTCTTAAAAAATTACAGTTTTTTTATATTTACTCATGCAGATACAGCATACTGAATACAGTATTCGCCTACAC